TAAATGTGCATATATATATATATATATATATATGTAACTAGATTCATATGTTCGCCAATAAAAACCAACGGCTATAAATATCGATGAATTCGCGGGAGTAGCGACAGGGCTTATATAGCGGGTATGATATTTAGTTATTAAATTTATCTAAGGAAGGAACAACAATATTACTTACGACAGTAGTATATATTTCAGTAAATTTTTTTTTATTAAGCAGAAGTTTGGAATTAATGTACAACGTAATATAATATTTAACAGCTGCCTGACTGGTTTTTCTCAGAAATTATTTACGACATATAGGATTAAATTACAATTAAGATATCCACCTTGTATTTCATTATAATGTTACCACGGGGAAATATTCTTAAAAACGCACCAACACTCAACTTGGCAGGTCTGTGGACAAGGTACCCTAGACGGAGATTTTGGATCGGGCCAGAGGATCGGACCTATAAATGGATTTCAAGACTGGACCAGAGGACCAGACCAAAATGAATATTTCAGAGCCGGGTCAGGGGACCGAACCATATAGTATAAGAGAAAATTTAATGATAGAGAAGGATGATTCATCATTTAGTAGCTAGGAGACCAAAACAACAGATACAGGTATTTTCACAATCAGCCGTTGGTAGAGAAAATCTCGTTCCGCATAGGAACGTGTTTAATAAATACAGCAGTCGCACCGTTTACAACGGCACTTCTGACTGGTTAACTTGTCCAGACTTGACACTCTTAACTAAGCGTTAATCGGGTTTGACTAAATACTTGGCCAACCTATCAGCTGACTATGATTCCGAATTGGCACTCAGAGGTGTATTGTATCAAATGATTGATGGGGAAGCAAGGTACATTCAGTGTTTTAGCAGAGCCATGACCTCGTCACAAATCAATTACCCGACAGTACAACAAAAGCTTCAGCTATTGTGACTGCATTCACTCATTTTAAGGACTATTTGTATGGTATACACTTTAATATAGTATGTGATCAGAAATCATTGCAACATCTTGAGGACATGAACCCCAACTCACAGATGGTAAGTCGGTTGCATGACACGATTGCAAATTTTCTATTGGTATAACATGTGCTCCTGGTGTATACAAATACTTACCGGATATGCTGTCACATTGTGTACCGTTTAACAAGGTGTTACGGGAGCTACTAGCTACTGATTGGAAAGCCATTTTTAGATGATTTAAGATTGCAGACAATATACATGATCCACATACTATAAATAATTATCAATACATATGATCAACATACTAGAGATATGTTTGTAGCTCATCATATTGCATCCAGAAGGTTTCAGTGCAGCTTTGGAAGCAGCTTCGGAATTGCAGCATTGCAATCCTAATAGACTTCAGCGCTAGTATGACAATATTACACTGACCCAGCGTGTACATTGCCCTCATTTGTATCATAAAAGTCGGCTGATAGGGCTGTAGTCAAAACCGAGTAGCGCTTTTTAAAGAGTGCTCAGTATGAATAAGTGAATTCAGTCAGAAATATTAATATGAACGGCGCGTCTGCTGTATAAATCACGTTCCTATGTGGAATAAGATATCCTCTATCATCGAAAATATGAAAATACTTGTATCCATGGTTTTGGTTTCTTAACTACTAAATTGTGACGAAATCGGATGCATCATCTGCCTCTATCAGGTTGGCGAAAATGACGCCAAGAAGCATTGGAAGGGCATCAAGGCTTTGATTGCAGGATGCAAGAAGCACAATGTCAAGCTGAATTTGAATAATTGCTGTTTTGATTTCTTCGACCGGCCGGTTCTGGCCTTGGCAAGGTTGATGGGTGAGGAAAGATCTGCTATCAGCGAGGATAGAATGAAATCTATCCTGCGCTTGCCCCCACCCATGGACAAGGACATATTGGCTTCCTGGTAACACACAATTAACTATCGGAGCCAGTAGATTCCAAACAATTCCCGTTTCACGGCACTTATCCTGGATCTCAGCAAGAAAGATGTTCCCTTTAAAGTAGGGACCAGTCCAGCAGGAGGCGTTTAAAGGAGGGTTTGCACAGCTTAAACTGATGTGTTGGTTTATACCGACTGCTTCAAGGTTGTATGTAACATTATCTGTGAGGTAACATTTGCACTTATCTTGGATCTCAGTAAGAAAGATGATCCCTTTAAAGTAGGGACCAGTCCAGCAGGAGGCGTTTAAAGGAGGGTTTGCACAGCTTAAACTGTTGTGTTGGTTTATACCGACTACTTCAAGGTTGTATGTAACATTATCTGTGAGGTAACATTTCATCCATCGTACTATATAATTGAATTGTTCGGCAGCTCTAGCAGGATTTGGCATTCCACTCAAATAGTAACTGTAGCATTTGTTTTGTACAATGTAACAATTGCCAAATTACAATGTGGGTTCCTATGATTTCACACGATCAATACTGAGATCATTTCAGACTCATGTGAAGGTTCCTTAAGTCGTAAGCTTTCTGCCCTATGTTACTTGTGTAAGTCCTTCATTCATACTCTATGTGCATCAGCATCACAGAAACGAACAGCCGGAGAAGGTAATTGCGACAAATGGCAGAATACTCCGGATATAAGCGAGCCTTTTATCCACTTCCCTGGTCCGCAACATTGTAACACTATGTTTTCCTGCAAGATCCAGCCGCCGATATAAAATGTCTTCGACTCTGCCACAGTACCTATCACTATATTGGTATCTACGTTGATTATCTCCTTTTACTTCTTTTCTACATGTTCACTATCCCCACTGCTGTGATATCCCCGTAGTAGTAGTGGTTAATCAACTTGCTACTACGAGGATATCACAAAACTGTAACCTATTAGGCACGAGTCCCCTTGTCCCCAGGACTCAGTAGCGCTGCGACAACACGCTGTCCACAGAAAACTTCTGGAAGTCGGGGAATCGGACCCATAGATCGCAGCTTTGTGATATCCCCGCAGTAGCAATTTCGAGTCTCGCCTGTATATAAATAGGTATTTACCTGAGTGTGGTAGTTGTATCCTTGTTCGGTAGCTGCTTTAGCCATAGCAATTGTCGATTGATGAGTTGGTTTATCGTTTCTACCGAGTAGACCTTTGTTCATCACTTTTTTGATGATATGGAGTATACAAGTTCTAGCTTGAACTTGATGCACTGAATTTGCGATGCTCTGATGAATGCCTAATAAAACACAATTATACTTAATTATCAAATAGCTGTTCTGCATAAAAAATAAATAAATATAGAGTTGTCCCACTTTAAACATGGTATCGCAACTAGAAAATTTAAAATGAAAATACTTACCCTGTTCTTTATCTACGAGATACGCCGACATATTTGGAAGACATCTATCAGAGAGCTCTTTGAACCTGTTCCAGTACGGCCCGTTTCCATTCTCTTTGCCCGCTGTCGAAATAGTTAACAACTTCATATGGTCATTAGCATTGTATGTGGTGAAAAATTGAAGTACACCACCGGAAATAGTATTCATATGTGCAACATCAAAAGCACCCCATCTTGGTAGATACTCATAAACCACTTCATGTCACCAAGTACTAAGTAGATTCCGTCGTACATAGGAATATTGGTTTCTAAGTAGGTACATATAGTTTTATGCACTAGGAGTGTAGTGTCTGGAACCCTCATAAATATATATCTTGCAGAGTCTATTAGTTTCAAATGTTTTATGTGATCCAACGATGTACGGTTTGATACTGTTCTCACATGCCCTTCCAATTGTGGTGGTTTGAGTATCAACCCTGCGTGTACTTGTAAAGCGGAGTCAAGATGTTTGACTGCCTTAAATTGTGGGATAGTATACTTTTCTAATACTTTCAAAGACTTGCCGGTTTTGAGTATCTTCATGTTGTGCTCTGCAAATAAATTGGCAATAGTCAGGTGGCAAAGCCCGACAGCATCAATTTTGCGTGAACAGTGCCAACAGAAAATATATACAAACAAAATCCCAGTTAAACACTATATTTTTGATACCTCTTATACGGCTTTCTTGGTAACTTTTAGCTGTACAAGTATGATTCGTCACCTCTTTCGTGTGTCGATACAGCCCTTTTTCTATTCGTTCAGCTGAGATCCGAATCTTACAGCTATTTTCAGCATTAAAGCTTACTTTCATACCTACACGCGCGTGAGATTAGTAGTTAGAATCTGAGCAATAGTTATTCAATTTTATTTCCTAAAACCCTAAAACCCTATAT